CTCTCCCCTAGGCCCATGCGGCGACTCCCTGACCGGTCAGCCACCCCTCGTCCGCCCGCACTGGATGCCCATGTTCCATTCTCCGTGTGGCAGCCAGAGCAGTCTTGTCAAAATGCCAGCACGACACTGTCACCTTCCTCCCTGAAACCTTCCAATGATTTCTTACTCATCTCAGGATAGGACTAAATTCTCCAGCTGGAACCACCGAGCCCGGCCTGGCTTCGGGGGCCCCTCTGCCTCACCCGCAGCACACGCACCCTCCCCTCTCAGTTTCTTGAACGTTCCATGCTTCTCCCATCCCTTCTGGGACCTTAACACATGCCGTTCCTTTGGTGTGGATGCTCTGCCTCCCCAACACTCTCGCTCCCCCACCTCACCCTCCCTCTCAGGTGTTACGTCACGCTCCCAGGTGAAACCAGATCTCTCACGAGACAATATCGCGATGCAATATGCTTTTCACTACTGCACTTTTAGGAAGCGCGCTTTCACATTTATTCGGGCTCACGGGAGATCACCATCTGTCTCCTTGATTGGACGGTAAATTCTCAGGGTTGAGAAGGGCCCGTATCTGGTTTTGCTCATAGTTGTCTCCGGAGAGCTAATTCCCAGGCCTCAAGTCACACCCTTTTAAGATGTTTTATGAAGAAACAGATTTGTGAAGAATGCCTGGATTCTTTGTTCATGCCTGGATTTCTCTGTAAGGCTTTCTAATTACCATAATGGATGCTGCCAAGACACTATGAGCTTCTTTGGCCAAGACACCACCCTACACAAGGAGACCACACGTGGCTGGACAGCTGCGAACACTGCCCTGCACCAGAGGAGTGGCTCCCAGACGCAGCAGCCTCAGGAGGTCGCGCCGCCTCTATTTCTCTGCAGCACAAACAGCCAACGCCGAGAAACCCTGCAGGATGCTCTTGAAGATCACTTCTCTGGGACAGCCTCGACTTGGAATGGGAATGTGTAATCTATTTCTTGCTGACACAGACAACGTCAGTGATGTAGGTTTTGTCCAAATTACCAACAAGGAAAGGAAATGACTCAAGGTGAATTCAACCAAAAGAGTTGAATTTAGAGAATTTTGACTCACACCTACTTTGGCCAGACAACATCGCTTACATGAGCTTGGGTTTCACTGGGTGTTTTGGTGGGTTTTTAACACATGTTTACAGCACATTTAAAAGATAAAATTGATTAGATATTACAGATACATGTGTTGCTGTTTGGCAGTAATCCTCGTCATTGTAGTCTCTTGTATTATAAGAGCATAAAATCATGAGTATAGCATGCATGGGTGTGTTTTTCTGGAAAAGGAATCCATAGTTTTGATCAGTTTCCTAAAGAGCTCTTGATGAACAAGAGTAGGAGCCAGCAAACGACTTTCTAAGGCCTTTCCTGGCTCTAAAATTACACACGTCTTAAACTCCAATGGTAAATTGGTGATATGATTGGAAAATTTAGTGGAAACCTGGACCCCTTGTATCTGCAACGCCAAATATTGGCCTGGAAAAAAGAATTCCAGGTTTTATCCAAATGTTTGAAGTCACACATATAGAGTCAAAGAACTTGGCCATCATGTTAACTCATGTAATTGTGTGATTGCTGCTGGACTCCTAACTGTCCCTACGCCCAAGCGTCTGCATCCGAGTGCTGCCATCGGAGGGTGTAGGGGGCACACCGCTGCAGGAAGGGAACGGGCACTGTGAACAACCCACAGCTCTTGGTCACCAGCCAATGTGTGCCTCCTTGCTCATCCTGGCGATACCACCCTGATTCTAACAACCAAACCTCGTACAGAAGCTGAGTCTTATCCCCACCATTAGCTAAACCCCACCCAGCTCACTCTGGAAAGAGAGGGAGGCAAAGCCAGGGGCAAATGCGTCTTTCTCCCGCGTAGAAGGCGTCTTGTCCGCCGGAACACTGCACAGGACAACAAGAGGCCAGCAGGTGAGCCCAGAGCCACAGCCAGCACCCACCCGGGGCCCTGAGAGGGGTCACCCCTAAGTCCTGCAGACTGCGTGGCTGTAGAGAGGCAACACTGCAACAGGCGTGATGAGAGACGCTGCTCCTCGCGCCCTCCCAGAGTCGCTCCAAAGAGGTTGAATCACAGACCCCTAAAAGTGAACTGTTCTTTGTTCCTTTTTGTGTTTCGCAATAGCCCCAAGAATAAACTCAGAAACCACTGCCACTGCGTAACGTAGCTCTAATGGTCCGAGAAACACATCCTTCTCTGCTTGCGCTGCCCTCCACAGGAAGTGAATGTGGGAGCCTCTTCCTTCTCCCCCTCAGTAAAATTCCTTTGACGTCAAACCACGAGGACAGGGCAGGGGAATAAAATCAGTGAAGGACACACAATCAGCTCGTATCCTTTGCAAAAACACTGCTGGGTCCTAGCTGTGCAGTGCCTGCTGATTTCTTTGGGCCTTCCCAAAACTTAGGGCCTGGGATTGTTTCCTGAGGCACATTTCTCCCTGTGCAGCGCAGTGGCATCATTGGGTGGGGTAATAAGGGGTCTGTTTACAATATTCTATTTCTCAAGACCTGAGATGCGGTATTTTGGACTCCTCACCACCGATCAATTTTTCAGTCTGCTGCTTTATCTACCTGACAGGAAGACTTGAACTACTGCCATTTCTAAATTGCACTTCTAAATATTGACTTAATGGCGAGACTCAAAGTGTCATAACACAGCTCACTGGAGCAGTGAAGGCTTTCCAGGCCTCATCGAGAGGTCTGTACAATGTCCTGTGGGAGGAGAAAAGGAAGAGGAGGATTCGGGAAGAAAAATAAAATCAAGTCATGTTTAGGAGAAATGCCACCGCCTTTCACTTCATCTCGCTGAGACAAATGAACAGGCACTGCGCTATCTGGTGTGGCTGTGGGGAACCGAGGGGAAGAGAGAAAGGAAAGCTGTGACCCTTAACCGCTCAGCTGTCCACTGGTAAGAATGGAAGGTGCCCAAGCAATGCTGGCCGGGCCGCGGGCAGCAGGGCCATCGGAGAGAGCCTGCTGTCGGAGAGCCTTTAGTTGCGTATCCAGTTTAGGAGCGGACAGCGTCTAAGAAACAAGAGACTTCTCATCCGATTTCTCTCCAGACTTCCACATGGCTAGATCTTGAGCGAATCCTCATTTAGGTCACTGGGGAAATTCTAGGAGGCTCTCTTCTTTGTTTCTTGCCTCCTGATAGTTAACACCATACACCGATCTTAAGGCGGCATATCGCATTAGCTGTCCAAGGAGGCAACTGGCCCTTCCCTTACTGTAAGGAGCTGTTTTGAAGGCGCAACAAGATATTTTAGATGCAAATTAGCTTTGAGTTTTTGTGGGGGGTTTTTTTAGGTACTCAGTGATCTATAAATTCAAGTTGTTTGTTGTATCTTAAGGGGCCAGATTCTCCAGCAGGAGATAAAGAACAGTGCTCTGGAGCTGCTGTGCAGAGAAAAGTCTGGAGTATGGCAGCTGCCTCCCTCTGCGATCTTGCCCTATCTTTTCTCAAGCGTTGTCATCCATGGACTCCCAAAGGTCATAGGCAGGAGATCCCAGCTGGAGGGGGCCTGTGGGGATCTGGGGAGAGATCATGGGAGAGGAGCTCTTAAAAGTTCTCCACTGGAGGCTGTTAAGTTAACCAGACACCGAGGAAGATGACTCCGTGGCACCCGGGTGATATTCACCTTGATGGTCCTTGGGTTCGTTTTAAGCTGGCCCCTGAGGCAGCGTGCCCAGTGTTCCCTCTCTGATGTCCGTGCTCGTGAGCCCTTGTATTTGCTGACAATAATTTCTGAGAATGGCCTCACAGTGCAGCACCAGCTTTTGGCTTCAGACCACATCACACGGGGCTGGATCGTGAGCTTGGCTCCGCCGGCAAGTCTGGTCCGCTTGGCTGACGCACTGTCTTGTTTCCAACTCTGAGAAACACTGAGTCTCCATTTAAGGTAACAGAGTTCTCCAAACCCCCTCCCTTCCTCGAAAGCTTCTCATCGGGTCAGCCAAGGGAGCGCCGCGCTCCGCTCTGCGGCAGCCCGGGGTGCCCCGAACAGCCCTCCCCGTGGCCACCTCCGTCCAGCATCTTCCAAACTCCTGCCAAAGGCCCACGTGCTCAGTGGGGGCCCACCACGACTCAGCCCTGGCTCACTCATCCCTCTCTCCACTCTTCCCCCGCAGCCTGCCTGCCCGCGACCCCCACCTCCCACCATGCTGTCCCGGTTCTACCAGGTCCAGCCCCGGCCAGGGAGGGGCCCTCAGCAGCTTCTCCCCACTGAGTCTTTCGGTTCTTCTCGGCCTCCCCGACACCTTCTCTCATGACGGCTGTCAGCAGTACTACACCATTAAGAATTAAGAAAAACAGTATCTACAGCCATGTGCATGGGAAAGTCTAATTGTCCACTTACTTAAGAACAAATCCCACGAAGGGGAAGACAGCAGTAAGTTGACGCTTTTGTTATCGCTGAATCCTCTCATCCTTAATGAAAGATTTTCCACTGCCAACGTCAGAGTAGCCAACACTCCTCCCAGCAGCCAGGACAGTTTGCACGACTCCTCACCTCATTGCAGGAGGTAAAGTAACTTAGTCTCTCATGGGATATTCATACAAGGGGACCGCATTAAACGCACTACCGAAAGAAGTTGCAAATTGTTTGAATAGTCTTTTCAACATAGCGGAGGAGCTCAAAATCTTTTGCCAAATTCTTTTGTAAGGCAATTAAACAGCCTATAATGATCTCTCTTGGCCATCTAAAATTTCGCACAAGAAAAACCAAGGTATACTGCAGCCTCATTTCTGAACCACGGGAATCAGGAGATGGTATTGTGCCTGGTCTGGTGTTAGAGAGTTCAGAACAATGTTTTTACAAACATGCTCATAAGAATTATTTCTTGAAATAAAGATGTTGTTTTCCAAACCCTGGCTTGGTCTGTAAACACGTCTCCCACATCGTCTGTCTTCAGAGGCTCCCGGGCGTGTTTGGAGATTTGGGAGGGGGGCGGGGCCTGGAGGTACTCACCTGGCCAGTAGTACATGTAGACCTTCCGTTGGGCTTTGGTCAGAGTGACCCACAGAGGCTCCGACCCATTCCACCAGAGAGGCAGCAGGCTGTCTTTGTTGACACCGATGTCAAATGACTTGTTGGTGCTGGGGTCCCACATGTAGTTGCCGATCATCTGATGGACCTCACAGTGTCTGCCTGCGTGAATAGAACACAAAGCTTGTCAGCTTATCGTTCATATTTTTAGGTTGTATCTTTGTTTTCTGCTTATAAAAGCTGTTCCATCACATTTAGCAAGTACAGGACGGCATAAATAAATATTGGCTTCCGATTTTTTTTTTTAACATAGATGTTTCTTCTCTTAGTTGTACCATAAAGGCACACAATGGAGCGAGAAGTCCAATAATTGATCAAGGGTGGGATCACTTCATGTGCAGTTAATGTGCCATGTCTGAAGCTACCTTAAGTTAAACTGAGGACACTTTGTGCAAAATCTGACCCACTATCCATGGCTTGAAGTCTAAATGTGAATCAGGATGGAAGTTGCAGATCCCTGGGGAACTGGGGTTAAGTTCTCAAGCCCGAGTGCTCTCAGCACCCCTTCCAAACTGCCCTCCCACAAGATGAAAGCAGGTGCCCTGGAGTTCATTCCCTTTCTTCCTAAGGGGAGTTATCACTTCAGTACTGAGCAATGACAGAACCTACAGCATTCAGAGCAGAACAGTGAGAAAAAGATTCTACTTTGCAAAAAAAACACCCCCCAAAAACTACAGCAGGCCACATGGAGTGTTATGGAGGCAGAAGCCTTGCTTCTGCCGGGCACGGCTCAGTCCCAGAAGAGAAGCCAGAAGTGAAAGACGCAAGCCCTTGGACTCTTTTGAAATATTAGGCTTAAATTATTTATTTTGTGGCAATCTGTTACATCTTTAAAGTAAAAATCACACAAACATTGGCAAGTGCATCAAAAATTGCTGTGGTTTCGGGAGCATCACTAGGCACCGGGAAGCAGCAGGCTTTGATGGGCGTTCACGCTGGCTCGGGGCGGGGTGGGGGGTTCTGTTTGTTTGCTGCTGCTGGTTCTTCTTGGCCACCCCCTCCCAACACACACACACTTTATTTTTAAACAAAAGCGGGAAGACCGTAAGATATAATTTTGAGTATTTGAAGATCCCACATATCATAAAGGGAAAACCTTCTATTTCAGCCCAGAAACCCAGGCATTGCACAAATCAAGCTTTGAATTTAAAGCCCAGAGATCGAAACATAGTGGTTTTGGGTTGTTGTTGTTTTTTCTTTTTCCTTTTTTGTCTGTTTTACCAAAAGCTTTACAATTAGTTTTTGGACCCTAACCAAAGCTCTTATGTGTGGACTGATGAATTTTTAAAATAAAATAGAAACTCCATGTAAATCCTCCAGTGGTTAAGAAACTTACTGGTTTAGCTCATTCCTTCAACTGACAGTTACCAAGCTCCTATGGACAACATACTGGGATAAGTGTAGAGACTCCAATCTGAGTAAATGTGGTCTCATCCTAAGTACCTTTGGATGTGATGATGCTCAACAGAGGGTCCTCTGCATGAAAGACATGGCTCTTCGGGCCTGGCTGAGAAGGGGACCAGTGGCAGCCCCCACTGAGAATCAGGGGGATGTTCACCCCCCCCATGGCTGGGGATGATGCCTAGTGTGTTCTAACTCACTGAAAGTGGGGGCACACTTCTTGCTGCCTCTGCTCTGTTAGCGTTTTCCGCGTAGCAAAGTCTAATGATATTAAGAGAACCCATCTTGTGAGTCAAAGTTATTCATCTATTTCCTTTATTCAAAATACTCCATCACGTGTCTAAACTTTTTTTTAAGTCATTCTAATGATGCTCATGAACCCTGTTCACAAGGCAAGATAATCGGGACAACATGACAATCGTGACAAATGTCCCCTTCACAGAGCCTTTCCCTGCAGGTGCTCTCTGACACCTCCCACACGCGGAGAGGGTGCTTCACCAGAGCTGGGGTGCAGACGGGGGGACGGGCGCAGTCGGGAGGGGGCGTGGGACGAGTCGTTGAGGTCGGGATCCCGGAAGAGCCTCTAAATGAACCGCAGGGAAGGGCTGGCAGCGCTGGGGGCAGCCGTCGGGGCACGAGGCCGCGTGGAGGCACGTGCGGACCTGCTTTTAGTTGGAACTGTTCCAAACATTTTAGAAGAAATGCCAGAAACCCGGATATAAGCGAGGGCCACAGGGGACGCAGTTTTCACCAGGGGCTACATTCGAGGAGGCACGAAGCAACCGAAAATAACGTGGAAAGCACCTACGACTTTTTCTTGCAGAAACCCCACAATATCAGTCGATAAAATTCCTTTTCCTCTTCCTGACATTCAGACTCAACACTGTGGACCCCAAAGGGTGCAGACTCCGTGGCCCTCCTTTGCTCTCTGGGTAAAACATGCCGAGGTGCCTCCCATGCGGTGTAGAGCTGCTGGACCGAGTGGCTGGCTGGCTGCTAAGCTCAAGTCTCCGCCTCTTACATGTGGTTTTCTGAAAACACCCCTAGGGCTTCCCCGAAGAGAGAGAGGACCTGTGTGGGCAGTTAACACACAGTTCTCGGGTATTTTAAAATCGCAGGTGATGACACCTGTTCGCTATGGCTGGGTGCACGGCTTTCTCAGAGCGGCTATACCTTCCTGACCACGACGCAGGGGCTTAGCCCTCCCTTTCCATACCGATCGAGCCGGTGGTGCCGGTTGACTCAGGTGGGCGTCGAAGCCGTTAGTTATGACACTCTGCAGGGAAGCACCTTTGAGACAAAGTCCAAAGATGGCGTTGTTTCCTGCTCCCCTCGCGTCCTGGTTGGTCTAGGCTGGCCCAGAGCGGCGCGTCTGTTCTAAGGGGAACTTGGACCTGCAGGGGTGAGTGATCCATCCCCACCTCCCGAGACTCAACCCTTCTCCAAAGGAAGGGGCTCCCGCTCACTTCCGGTGAGTGGGTGGCACCTGGCGATCCGGGAACCGGAGGCTTTTCCTTATCCCCGTGAAAGGGTTTCCAGGGTAGTCCGTCCAACAGCAAGGTCACCTCAGGCCCCTGTTTAGAAAGTAGGCTGTGCTGTTTTGGGGGGTTGGGCCTGGAGTTGTAATGGGAGGGTGCATTTGCCAGAGGCTCAGTCCTAGGAAGCTGCGCTAGTCCCCGGGGGCACCCTTTGTCCTGGGAAGCTTGCCCTCCGGGGAGATGGCAGGAAACCGTGTGCTCCCCGCCTCACCATCGGCTCCCCGTCTTCTGCGGAGCTGCCCCGCCTTCCCGTGAAGGGACCGGGGCGGAGTGTGCTCTGACCCTGGCTGGCTTCCCCGCCGGCCCTGGCTCTCGCCTGCTCCTCCGTGCCTTCTGCCAGGGTGAAGGGGCAGCGGAAAATGCAGAACAGAACAAAGCAGCGTGTCCCGGCTTCTGCAGCCCACAGCTCTCATCTCCAGACCCGTATCTGTTTTTATACCCCTGCCGCTCTCCTTGGTTTTTCTCTTGCGGGGCTCACCAAACGGGGCTCACCAAACAGAGCTTAACGGTAGTCTCCTTATGGGGACCCTTTGCCCAAGGCTTTGCCGGAGACGTACTTTCCTGGCCTCATCACAAGCCACGAATCGCAGGTTGTTTTCAGGTGTGGTGTATAGAAGGTCTACTTTTGCTTCTCCTCCAAATGATGGCTCCGTGGGGCTTTAAAATTTGTGCCAGGAGACGCAGTACTCACTGTGAAAATGGGGGCAGCTCCCGGTCTGGAAATTTCTGAACACGAGTAAGCGTTTTTCTCCTTTCTTCTCACTTGTCCCTAAAACCTGAGAGTCTGTAAACACTCAGCTTCTACAGCCAATAAGGAATTTTTTAATTATACAAATGCTTTTTAAATTCCTACTGTGTAATCAGCTTTACAAAGTAATGTTCATCTTTAGTTTCTAAAGCTCTCCGTTATGTTTTCCTGAGGTCCACATGTTTCCATTGGATGAAGGTGGCTGTGTCTACTAAATATCAAACCACTGGTTGAGAAGTTACATTTTACCCACATCAATTTATTCCAAGGACGGCAGTGTAAACACAGGTTACAAAGTGCCCATGAGGAGTTTGGAGATGACTCTTTCAGAACATCCGCGTTTGTACCCAGAAGTTGCGTTCAGAGCTGCGGGCGGGCCTCTCGGACAGCCCGCTGGAGGCATGACAAGCGCCCTGACCCGGGCTATCAGCACTGTGTCCAGCTTGGGGAGATGGTGGGTACAGCGGGGAGGTGACAGGCAAGCGGTCAGACAGACCATGGCTAGCCCACTCCATGGGTAAAGCGACAAGGCCCAGAGCGGTAACTTGCCTAGTGTCGCGCCCAGGAGGTGTAGCATAGCCGGGCCTCAAGGCAGGTAGCCGGGTCCAGGGCCCTGGCTCCTCCCCGCCGGGCGCGCCCAGCCCCGGCCACCGGCGCATGTGCTGGCACTGTCCCAGTCCCGGCACTCAGCAAGCCCACAGGAAGGAAGCTGCTGCCCGCGTCTGCAGGCCATTAGGCAATCTACAGACTCCCTCCCTCGAGGACAGGGTGACTGCAGGGGACTGGGTCAGCCCAGGGGTAAGGTTCCAGGGATCCGCTATGCAGGTAGCGCCTCCCCTAGGGCAATGAATGGAGGCGCTCGAGGCCAAGTCAGACTCAGGAAGAGTCATAATCAGCAGGCCAAAGGCCTGAACCAACTTGACAAGTGCTTGCGGACCAACTTAGTAATAAATTTCCAGTTCTTGGTCACCTCCTGTGTATCTGGAACTAGATGCTTCCAGTTCCCATCTCACTTAGTCCTCACTGTAACTCTAAGAGACGGATGCCATTACCCTCGTGATGTGCGTGGGGGGACTAAGGCTGAAACGCCTGGGTGACCAGGCTTGGCCCACACAGCTGGGGGAAGGACCGGCCCCGGTCCAAAGCCATACCCTTCCCGGCACCGGCCCTACTCTGGCCACTGGGCTTTCATCCGCCCACCAGGGCCTGGCTGTTGGAAAAGAAATTGCCTCGTAATCCAGGTCTGCTTCTAAGACTCTCACTGAAGTAACCACATGGAGTCTCCCAGGTCTCCCAAAAGCCAGGCGCATGCCTGTCTCCTGCGATGCACTGTCGTGCATCGACTTTGCCGTAAATAGCTCGAAAGGCGGGCTGCAGCCAGACAAGGGAGCTACCCAAGCAGACAAGGAGACAGG